CACCGAATTCCATCTCCACTAATGTGGGGATGAAATTAGGTTAGTTAACTAGCTAGTTAGTTATCTAACTTAGCTAGCTCTCATAGCCTAAAGCCAGCTAACTTTGCTTGAGCCCTGGACTCTTCAAATAAATGCTCTTAATGTTGTGAATGAAAGCTTCTTAGCAACAACTTTATCTAACTAATATCTTTCTCAGAACCTTTTACCTTCTACTCACCTCACACAGCAGATCTTTGAGTGTCAAGCTGTTTCGTTTCACGTCAATCACATGCAGAGAGACGGTTCCGCAACTTCCTGTATCCGTGTCAAAATAAAAGCCATCGTTTCAAATTAAAAGCCCTCTAGTGCTTCATACACGGTCCAGACATATAGGCTTTGACGTCTTGCTTGGTAAATAATTACCGAGGTCCGGACCTTGGTGGCCTCATAGCTGGCTATGGCCATGGTCTCAGAATGGGAAGCGGACCAGTTTTTCCCATTATGACCAAATTACACAGTTCCACCTGGGACACATTTTGGAAATTGTTCCAAAATTCCGGAATCCTATCATTCACCAAAAAGTTGTCAAAATAGACAAAACTAATGAGCTAAGTACCTTCATTTTCCTCAGAGGATCCCTGTCTATTTTGATTAGGTGACCTTTTCTGTGTAACACCCTCTTTATGTAATGGGCTGATAGCGCTGGCATTTGCTGACCACATCCATTCTCCTCAAAGAAAGAAGCATTTTGAGTTGTGCCATGCTAGAATTGAATTTTTAGCCATGAGAGACAAATACAGTAGAAAAGATAAATCATTTACACATTGCTCTACCCATCCTACAATTGAATATGACAAAGTGAGGGAATAATTGTAGCTTCTGAGGAACATTGCAGAAATCACTCTGCTATCCCAAGTATAGAAAATACATTTTTCATTAGTTTCACTTGGCTCTCTGGCCTAGCATACTAAAGTACTTCTTAAGTTTGTAAAATTATACATAAGCACCCCTGGCACTACCAATGCAACTCACACAACCTATTTCACTAGTATCCTTCAGTTGGAGTATGTAGGCTATTGTTTTATTTAACTGGTACCTGTTCAAGCCTCAACCTTAACTTTTGACCGTATATATACTGTATCAGCTCACGCAGGTAAAAAGTATTTGGTATATACGATTGACCATAAATGAAAATATAGGCCTCTTACCTTCCTCCTTTTTTACAATTACTGCTAATGAATGACTGTGGTTTAGTGTTAAAGTATTAAAGTACCTCTTCATCAGTGATGGTAGGACTGCAGATTCCAGGTGTGTACATTTGGAAATGGTTTTTGCTGACATGTTGATAATAGCTTTGTCTAATTGTCCAATATGATGATACATTGCAATCAAAGACACTTGAAGCATTGATTCAACAGGTTGAAAAACATTTTTCAATGGAATTGTTTAAATAAAAGTGTGAATTGGAGACGAAGTACAAAGTTCAACTCATTAAATGTTTTTGTGAACAGAACCAGTAAATCCCTCAAGGTGTCTGAGTATCTTTATTTTTCTGCCAAAATAGAACAAAGCAAAGCCTTCAACAAAAAACGAGAACAGCTCTTGGACCCGTAGAGCTCACTGGTGTCTAACGCAACAGTCATTATAGTAAAAATAAACTTTTCTTCCAAAGGGATTGTTTGCATCCAAATGGGGTATTAAATTATTTGTGTGCTCCAGTGCCTCGGGTTCAAGGTAGTGTGAAATAGCCAATGATTCTCTTTGCAGAAAATTTGACAATATTTAGCTCTCTTGCATGGTGGATGTGAAATCACAAACACAAAATATTTGATTTATCGTTATTTTTCACTAAGCACCTCACAAAGTATGATGAAGCAGTAGGTGATGTGTATGGTTAGTATCAAGTGTTATAAATATGAACAACACCAGCACATTTTGGTTAAATCATTATCAATATTTTGCATTTACATAGTTGTATATATTATATGACATAAGTACAGTGGAGCCAAAAAGTGTTTTAAAATGTGGATAAATCAATGTGCGTTTCTCCTGACAAGGTCTTTCAAATGTGTCAACAAAAGAAAGTTGGGAAATCACTTGACATTTTATTTATGCATTTTTTATTATACTTATTTATATGTGTATGCAAGCCTTCACATCTTTGCTGCTGCCTGCAAAAAATTATCTTCAAAACACTCAGTTAGTCTCTTGTGTTCTCTGCCATTTACTTTTGCATTCAAGTGGTTTCCCACTTTTCCCTTTGTTAGTACCATATGTGTTTAAGCCTTTTGGGAATCCAGTTTCTAACATTTATTGTTAGAAATTGCTTTTGCAAACTGTAATTCACTTTAAGCATCTGCTTTATCGGCGAGACTGTATTTCCAAAACAAAGGCACTGCGAGGAAACATGAAAACATTGTTGTTTCTCACAATATAATTTGAATATAGCAGTTTCTATTCATTTGGGAGGCCTTCTTTTATCCAAGATTTAAGAGTACCAAGACACTTGACAGAAAATCCATCAACAAAAACACATTTCATTCAACATATTTTATCCAACTTTCTTATAGATTTCTTAAATTCATCAAAAGATGGAGGGGCGGGGGCAGTTAGGTCAAAGTCAGTGGGTTAAAGGTTTAGTAGATGGGGTTAAAGATCACTCTCTCCATAGAGCGCAGTGGAGAAGGCAGTGTAGTCCAGGGCCCCTGGTGGCACGCCATGGCCGGTGTAAGGCGGCATCCTCATGATGCAGTACTCTGCTTGTTCAGGGGGAAGCTCTCTCCTTAGCTCCTCCACTAGTATGTAGGGCTGCGTAGTGGAAGGAAAATGTATTTCAGGCATGTTTTGCATAAAGTGTAATGCTAATACCACTGTTTTCCTACTAAGGTCATGATCAAAATTGTGGCTCATAAATCAGCTTGGCATGGTCAATTCTTGGAAATAATGACTTGAATAGAATAGATTAGAGTCAGCTAAGAATATCATGCCGGCACGCACATACCTTGTCAGCTGCCAGGATCCGGAAGGATGCCACAACCTGCTCAGCAGTGTCTGTGTCAGCGGTCTCTCTGGTCATAAAGTCAATGAAAGACTGGAAGGACACGAGTCCAGTACCACTGGGATCCACAAGTATCATTATACGGGCAAACTCCACTTCTCCCTTGGAAAGTAGGACATAATAAAAAGAAATGTTTCTACAAAGCATGTGTAGAATACAGCTCCCCTCCATCCAACCACATTTGAAATAACATACCAAGTCATATCCCATAGAGATGAGGCAAGCTCTGAAGTCATCAGTTTCCATCGCTCCATTCTTTTTCTACAGTTGAAGGCCAAATTTCAAGTTCACAACACAGGAGATAAGAAGGAAAATACAGTCAAGGAAGATAGAGTCAAAACAGAGACAAGATAATATCAACAGCGTTAAACATGACAGCAATATTGTAAAACTAAATGCTGAATTTATGTACTATTCACAGTCTTTAAGTTTTTTTCTCTAAATTTATCAGTGACTGTTAGATGAACCACACTGTGATAAAATAAATATAACTGAGGAGGAAGGATTTAAACGCTAAGTGCATAATCTTTAAGCTTTTCTGATAAAGCATTAAAGATGCTGGAGATTTTGTGATAAATGAGGTATGAGAACATTAAATGAGGAAAGAAGAAATTGTATTATCGCTCAGATGCTTGCCTGAGCATAAATACAATACAGAATACACACAAACACAAAATATTCCTTATCGGAGATATCGCTAAATGGTATAAGTTTGCCAATATTGTGTTGCAAGTTTGATTTGCTGGATGAGTTATCCATGCATTATTCTGTTAGTCTGGCAGAGTGAGGAAGTCGACAGATGTAGCTTGAATAAATGAAAACGGCATACCTAAATAAGTGATCCATTTTTACACCTCAATCAAAACTGCAAGGATCTACTCCTAACTAAACATTTCCCAGTTCAGTAGTTGCACTTTTTAATGGATTACTTGTTGTGGCATAAGGAGAAATGTAAAATCTTTCATCCTCAACATTTCCACCAGAAATCAGTTCGTGTCAGATGTAGTGACAAAGGCTGAACGCTGCAAGAATTCTCCAGTAGATTTGGGGTCAACGTCGGCACAGTTATAAGATCATCTCTAAATACTCTGCAACCCAAACTATATGATTTGCTTTAAGGTCAGGTTGGTAATTTGTTTTTGAAAATGTTTTTACTTATTTGTTGAAATCCTCTTCACGTCGCAATAGCCATTAATAAATAAAGTCTTCTGAGTTACAAAAAGAAAATAAGCCGTTGTCTGTTGCCCTCATAGGACTGGGAAAAAAATTATTCCCTAGCGTACCTGCGCGCACCCTGCCCGTCTCACTGTGCATGACTGAAGACTTCAACCAGGGATACATGCACCGCTGAAGCAGAGACAGAAAAGTTGGCCTCTAGCAGTTGTCAGGCAGTGCGCGTTCATGTGTTTTCGAGGAATAGCTTTTGACAAGAGGGCTGATGGGAGGGCTCGGGATGTACAGTATAGGGAGCTTTAAAAAAATCTGCAGTGCTGTGAACTGGTGAAGAGCTTTACCCGGTCAAAGTGGCTGAAAGAGGATCTGAACTCGTTCATCTGCTGCTGGCTGATGCCCTTGGCGTCGCGGGTCAGGATCTGGGTCTCTATCTCATTGATGGTTCGGGCGATGGTTGTGAGGAGCAGCTCCCACCCGACGCGGATGTGCTAGTAATGAGTAGAAGGCATGTGCAAACAGAAAAGAAAAAGCTGTACGTGCGTCTACTGTTCATGTCCATGTGTGCATACATTTGTGAGACTGTATGCCACGGCCCTGTACCTCCATAGTGTAGTTGGTGTGCTTATTATCAAACACCAGGGACTCTTGGATTAGCTGGTGGTCTCCCTCCAACTTGTCGATGTTGGGCTTATAAGCGACGATTACGTGCTCGCACTGCTTCAGCTGAGTCATCTGGTCCTCCAGCGCTCCTCCGATCTCCATCGAGCAGCGTGCAATTTCCTGTTAGGATAACCACATGCAACAAGGTTAACTTCTTTTTTTGGTCGAATTTGTATCTGCAGGGAGTCGTTTACCTGGGGCGAATATTGAATTCTGTCAGGACATGCATCATTTGATAAAATGCATGTGCATAATAATGTTCAGTCATTTCATTCAGTTTTATTTCATTATTGTTATCATCATCATCAGGAAAGTCACTATCGCTGTACTTGCGTACAGTGCATTTGAATAGAATTATCTTCCATTCTAGGCCTTTATTTGATTAGATGGAGAGAACTGTCTAATTGCGTATGAAGCCTGTATGTCTAACCTCCATCCTGGTCTGTACCCAGGGTCCGATGAGATTAGCCTGGGCAGCAAACTGTCGTCTCAGCCTCTCGTGGGCATGCTGGTGTGCCATCTCCTCCTGGAGGGCACCATCCCTCTGAGGAACCAGCTTCTTCACCTAGAGAATACGCACAGACACAGCTTTACGTGGTATTGTGAAAAGTTACCTCCCTGTGAAGCTGTTAATATTGAATAGAATAATTCTAATATATTTGGATTAAATGCTTTAGATCTTCATTCAACTCAGGGATAAAATATTAGAGCTGCACTTTTTTACTTTATCAGTGGAACACAGACTCTGCTCTCCTTGCTCCTCTTTCATGACTGCTTTTATACGGCCAGACAGCCACTATCGAAATAACGACTTTATTCGTTGAGTCTGTGAGTGAGTTTTAAAGCAGTAGATACCTTTTCCCACTTGTTAAGAAGCTCCTCTGTTGTAATGGTGCTGTAGGGGTTCATAATGTTGGCCTTGATCCCATAGCTCTGGGAAATTTTCTGCACCTCATTGTGGATTCCCAGGATGGCTTGTCTCTCTGCATCAGCCTCAGGTAGAGTAGCTTTGAACTGCTCATGAGCTGCGATTAGACTCTGACAGGGAAAAAGGGAAGCACCCGAAACGTTACCTTAAATTTGTCAAGAGTGGTTATATGTGTTTTTTTTGTGGGTGGAATAAATCTACCAACATTACACACTATGTTACATTAAATACCTCATAGATATTTACAATAAAAAGCAGATGTATGGCCCTGTTCAGACCTGGTGTTAACATCCATACTGAGAGATCCGTCTGCTACAAGTCTATTCTCCTCTGGCATTATGCATCCTGAATGTGGACACATTTGGGTGCATTCAGACTTGCACTGAGCTGACCATTTTCAATCAGATCACTCCGGACAGTGGTCTGAACAGGGTCTATATCTAAATTCTGTAAAACACAACTACAATCTAATGAATATGTATCTTTACTGCTGTAACCCTACCTGGACTTCTTCAATAGTATGCACTATGAACATGTCCTGCAGATCTTCCATGGCTCCTTCCATCCAGTTGTTGAAAGGAGCAGACCTCTTGGCAAATTCCAGGAACAGCTGATCAATAGTCTCCAGGAGTTTATCAGTGCGCTGAAATCATTAACACATACAACTTTCATTTATTTTCTATTCTTAAATCCTAAATAACTGACAGACACTTGCCAGAAGTAAGTCACCATCTTCATATCTCCCACAACAAATATTCCGTCACGCCTTTAATGACTAATCCCAGGGTAAATGACACTGGCATGCACTTGTTAACCCCCAACTTTAGATGAGTCCCTGCTGACAGAGTCCCCCCCTCTCCCCCAACAGAGGATGGTGGGGGATCAGGAGATGGGACAGAAAACAGACCCCTGTCCCTGTCATTCAGACTTAATCCTTGGCCCTTTTCCCGCGCCCTCACACATTTGCAGGTCTGAAATGGTCAGCACGGATCAGAGGAAGTGGCTGGTGGGCTTCTAGCCAGTCTCTTCCCTGGACGGAGACCCTTACATCTATTTCTCCTTCATCCCCTCCACGCTGACATTTGCCCTCCTCTCTGGGTCAGGGGATCCAATTATCTCTCCTCATTAAACAGCTGTGTCTTCAATGTTCATATGTCCATGACAGTCAACTAAATATGCTTATACCTACATTTTGATTAAACTGGTCTCAGACGCAACGTCATTCTATTGTAGTCTCTATTATAGTCAATGTGGAACATTAGCACACTCTTGTGGGGACTTGGAAAGCTGTCCTAACACAAAAGAAATCAATCCTTCCTTCCAAGTTTAGGGACCTTAAAAGACTGAGCCTATGAGGAAGAATGAAAGCTTCTCATGTGCTTTTCAGTCAAACATTCAGATATATTGACCTTACAATTGTCAGCAGCCCTTACCTCCAGTGCCTCTCTCCGTTTCTGAGTCAAGGTTCCCAGCTTGTCCCACAAGTCACAGATGCTCTGGCAGCGCAGGTTCACAGCTGCCACATCATGGTAGTCCAGCTCACTGGAAAAACAAAGCACATGCTGGGTTTTTTTCAGCTGTGAAAGAGACATTCACAACATTATCATTTCATCAGTAATTGTAGTAAATGTCTGTGTTAACTTTTATTGTAAAAGAGGCACAACTGTAGGAGTCAAATCTAAAGCATGTGTAGCTCTAACAATGCCAATAAAACATATGCAGAATATGCATTAAAGTTTATATATTGACATTATAGGTAATAGTGGAGCATTTTATAAAGTCATCTAACCCTATTTCCACATTTAAGGGAACACTCCTTATAAGGATATGTCCCACTTCACCCGTACCTTTCTATGGTTTATGGGAGATGTACCTGCCATTACGGTCATCCACGCTATTGTATGTTCAAGTTTACTCGCTTGTTTAAAGTTGGTGCTACATGCTGACTTGTGATTTCAATTCTGTAGGGGCCCACGTATGTACAAATTTCCTCAGAGAATTTTGTGTTTGGCTCATTGTCAGAACAAACAAGATAACCTCCAAAGGTGTTCATGGTGCAGCTTTTCCATCAAATTAACCAAAGAGCTAGCAAGTCACAACCATTTACAGAGCCAGCTAACATTAGTATACCTGAAATTAGAAATATATAAAAAATGTGAACAGTCACTGTTAAAAGACAATCAGGCACATGGAGGTCTCCAACTTTAAACTGACTGTTTTCAGCCCATGAGTTACTGTAAGTGATACCATGGAACAAACTGAAATTCAAAGCCTTTGGCCTGGACGAACAAATCTCATCCAAGACATTTAAAACGATTTCTTCCCATTTGTGAGTTCAGCTCTGTTACATTTGAAACATCATTGAATTAAGATTCACATACACACAAAACTACTCTACAGAGTGCTGAGGCTCTGCAACTCTTAGAATGGATTAAAGGTTAAACTAGTATTTATAAAAAATATATATATATATATATTTAGTCAGGCAATACAGACAGTGATACTTTCAGCATTTATTTGAAAAATTGAACAGATGTCAACATATTAAATTGCAGGAACCAGTAGAGCAGTCTTTACACCTGCTCTTGTTTGTAAGAGCAGTCCTCTTTAGTATTCCTGCCAGAGGTCTTCACTTGGATCTTCCCTTGTCTGAGGGCCTGAGGTTGGACTTTGAGCAGTGGGAAACTGGTATCTCTCATAGTGGACATCATTCCAGTGATTTCTTCCACTTTCATATTCTGACTGAAAGTGAGAGTGCGTGCCAGGAGGAAGCCGACCAGTCAAGAATAGGTAAAGCTGGCTTGGTCCAAGCGGTTCCACTTCTGGTACTGGAACTGGCTGCAAGTACTCCTCAGATGTGGAAGCAGCAGCAGAGATGGATGACAGCGCGTAGGGAGGCGGTGGTAAATAAACGCGGTCCTCCGTTTCCCGCTCCTCATTTCCGTTCTCGTAGATGGATTCATAATGACTCAACTCACCAGCCTGGTATTCAGATTTAGGATATACAGGAAGTGGTGGAGGAGGCACATTTAGATCTTCTGTTTCCCTCTCAAAGTTACCATCCTCAAAGTTCTCTTCGTATTGCTCAAGCTCACCTGCCTGAAATGGAGGGGGAGGAGGGGGACGAATGATGTCCAGTATGGGCTGAGATGTTCTGGACACGCTGAGGCCAGTTGTAGACTCTTCCAGAGGGTCCAAAACAGGAGCCTGACCAGGGGGATCTGTAGCAGGTCTAGTGCTTGCTGGATAGGAACTGTAATATTCTCCCCCCTCCATTGGGTCATAGAAGTATGAGACAGCAGGATCGTTCATATTGGTAGGCTGAGCAGGAGCAACTTGGGATAAACTACTATGGCGGCCAGGACGCGTCTCCACATTTGAGAAACTGCCTCCATAAGGATTATCCTGGCGCCAACCTAGAATGGAAAAATGTTTGTATTAAAACATTTTAAAAGGAAGTCTAAGAAGGTTTATTATTTAACTTGAGGCAGATAACATTTGTCAGGTTATAGCATTTACCTTTTTTAGTAGGAAAACAATGAACATTCCAGCAGAAGACTGAAAAGAGGAGCAGCAGACTGTAAAAGAAAAGCGCTTGGTCAAAAACTTCAGTAAAATTATAAACAAGACATAAAACAAACCAGAAACATAACCATTAAACTGTCTCATACCTTGCAGAACCCCAGGCAGCCATTCTCCTTCCCAGCTGAAATGTTATCTCCTCCTCTCAGCTCAGAGCACTGGTTAAATGTCAAACAGGAAGTGTTCTGTGGCCAATCCCGGACTGAGAAGGTAACGATGGACAGGTGCACATTGCTGACTGCTGATTGAAAATGTCAGTGAAGCTCACCCTTCACCTTTGTCACCAGCAGTGATGCTGTGCATCCATATGCTTCACGGAAGGTACCTTTTCTCAAGTTGTAAAGTTGATGTTCTGACTTGTGTTCATGTGCTTTGAAGTCGGAATGTGGAAAAAACATGAACGCTCTGAACAAAATGTGTTGTTTTCATGTGTCAAGAATAATATTCCAATATCTGCATAGTAATGATGAGCAAAGAAAGAAGGCCAGGAATGACATATAGATAATTTTAAACGTACACATCATTAAAAAAAAGTCTGTATAGTGTCTGTGTAGAGCTAAACCAAAATATTCGTTGACTTTGTAAAGTTTTGGCCCAACTTGGTGCCCGGTCACACATATGCCAATGAGTCAATGGTAAACCTCTGCCTACCGGTTCACTTCCAATCTCAAGTTGGCGTTCACATAGACTTTAGATTATTCTGACACCACATGAATTTACTTGTTTCATCAGTACTTTTTCCAAAGTGGTTCAAAAAATAATGAGTCACCTCAATGTGAACGAATAGAATAGTATTTCCTTCTATGCAAGAGCAGCGCTAATGGTATTAAAATAATATTTACAAAATGTTTTCCCTCGCACCCCCATCATTGCCCACCCACCGCCGACTGCCCCGGGCCTCATGACACGACTGCAAACGTCTGCTCTAGTGAGTGCATACTTCAGCTCCTGTGCGATGGCGGCAATCTGCTCCACTCTGTCCTGGTGGGCTGCCAAGTCGCTCTCGAAGGCCTCGTGTTTTCGAAGCAATGCTCGGATTTCTATGAGGGTGGCTGTTTCATAGTCCTTCTGGGAGAGGATCAGTTCCTTACCTGAATATTAAAAATAGGCAAAGAGAGAACAAGGCAATAGGCAAGAGCACTGAAGAACCAGATTATTTAGAACATTAAAAACAAATTAAACAGAAAAACAGAGAGACTTATAGTTACTGCAGTGAGAGACACAAACCATCCAGTTAAAAAGCATAGTGACAAACTGACCACTGGCCCAGTTCTCGTGATTGCTGGCTTTTTGGCGGAACTTTTCTGCCAGGTGATCCAGTCTCTCGAGCCGACGGATCTCAGTGAGGAGCCACTCCTCGTAACCTTTCTCTGCCTGCTCCAGGCCCTGCCACGCACTGGCTATGTCCTGGAAACAAAATGAATATTCACAGTTCAAATCTCCTTGTTTGAGAAGTTGAGAATTGATCCATCCTGGTAAATTAGAAAAAAAGGATGGAAGTGTAAAACAAACCACCCACTGCTGGTGCAATGCCAGGGCCTGTTTCTCTTAAATCCTGTGTAAGACTCCAGCATTTGCTATCAGGCTAATGTGACATAATGTGGTATAAGACACATTGATAGCTGTGCACTCAATCATAAACACTGAATTTGAGTCGTGACTTACGGATACCATCTTCCCCTCAGAGGGCATGAAGGCGGGGCGATTGCTTATGCGCAGCTTGGTCTGCAGGGTGTTGAAATTAATTTCCAGCTGGCACTTCTCCTGCACCTTTGGGGGCTTGTGTTGGCGTCTGTAGTCCCTGAAATCCTCCAGCTTCCGCTGCATCTCTGCCATGGTCTTCTCTGGGGTCCGGTTCTCCAGCCAGGGGGTGGTGCGGCGGATCCACTCCAGCAGCTGAGAAACATAGGACAGGGTGGGAAAAGTTGAGAAACAAAAGAGCTGCAGGTTAACATACAACAAACATAGAAATGATTCATGTTTTCTCATGGGTGAAGAAAGATGTAATATCAAAATAGGCAGAGGACCAACTTTAGAGTAGCATGTCCTGTAAATGCCTATTAAAGTAAATGGCTTCATTTCACAAAAGCCATTTTGAAACATTAACTCTGGAAAATTGGGTCAGGACATTTTCTACAGTTACATATTGAGAGTGCTGAAGGAGATTTTCAGAATAAGACGCTTTCACAACAAGAAAATGTCAGGAACATTCAGGTGAGGGTTATGGAAGTGCATGTCTGAAAGCATCACATGAGAGGATATTCTGTGACTACATGTCACACTATTTTACCTCACTGGCCAGTCTTTCATATTCCTCCATCATTTTTTCATTTTCCTGGTTGACGCCGAGCACCTTACAGATCCTGTTGGCAGCCGTCTCTGCCTGCAAGCACAGGACACCAGAACACAGTATCACATCAGCAAAGCAGCGTGGGCCATGCTCCCATTCTTCTTTCCAAACCAACCAACTATATAAACATCAAAATCAAAGGGACAGAGCTCTGCCCGTGAACACAGATGAATTGTACAGAAGAGATGGTTAATCTCAAAATGCAAATTGGTGAAGTCAGCTTCAACCTCTGTACCTGCTCAGCTCCAGCAAAGGCGTGGTAAAAGCAGGACACGTAGGTCATGATAGCTCTTTCATCGGGCTTTGGGGTGTTGATGATATCTATGGCAGTGACAGGGAGGGAAAGTCAAAGGTGTAGAAAAGAGAAAAGTGGGGGTCAACATTTTCACCCTTAACCAAAGAAGACACATTAAGAGAAAAACAAATATGTGAAATCTGGTGCAGCTTTATTGAATTTAAAGGGACTGTTGGGCCTTCTACCAGTTTGTTATGGTTTATGTTCCACACAGGTATATAATTATGGTATAGAAATATATCTATATATGAAAACAATCACATTTACAACTTGTGATTGGATCTATGTGAAAGAGCCAAGAGGTAAACTACACCTCCAATAGAGAAAACGTCTACGTACACACAGACATAATCATATCAATCACATTAGAAAGTTTAAAACTTTAATTTAAAAAAACAACATTTGGCTCCTTCTATTTTATAAAACATTACCTTCTGCGTCCAGCATTTTGGGAATGTCCAGGTGTTTCTCAGCTATGTCGAAAGCCAGGTTCAGGTTCCCCAAAGGATCATCCTAAATAAAGAAACACAATTCTGCATCACTGAGCAGCAATGTCGGACTTAAAATGCCACCACACTGACCCCTCTGCTATGATGGACGCATTATTCTCCCCTGGCCCCCTGCTGTACATGCACATTAATCTAACTGCACTTGTTTTTACATTTATATATTCAATACAGCTTCTGCACAAAACCTAGTAGAGAGAAAGTAACACGAGGAAGATTCATGAATGTGATGTTTATCTTAACTGATTTAATCAAATAGAAAATAAATCAATCAACCGGAACATTACTCTATGTGGCGCGGATTTTAAAGTGATGCTAATGAGAATTACATAACATTTCACCATATTTAGATTTACATTTAAATTTGACATTTAGATTTAAATTAAACATTTAGGTTTAACATTTAGATTTAATATTTAGATTTAGATATAACATTTAGATTTAACATTAAACATTTATACATAGATTTAACATTAGGGTTTAACGTTTGATATTTAAGTTTTAATCTGAAATTTTAAATAAACATGAAAACAAAACATTAAAAAAAAAATAAAAAAAATCCCGACAGTAAACATCATATATTTCTTGAGGTGACAAATTCATTTTTTGTGACATACAGAAAAAGAGTTATAACAGAGTGGGAGTGGTGCATTAAGCGAACAGCTGATGGTGAACAGTGAGAATGCACTGGGGTAAAGGGATCATGCTATCATGCTTCTGCTATTGTCTCATTTCTGTAACACTGTTCCATAAAGGTAGAGGGTGGGGGTGAGGATTGGCACAGTACATGACAGGGCCAGCTGCTCACAGATCCAGTGCAGGACAGACAGATAGATGGATAGGATAGTCATGGTAGTAATGGGATGGAGGGACGGATGGAAGGATGGATAGAAGGACATCCCACAAGGCCTGTGTGTGTGTGTGTGTGTGTGTGTGTGTGTGTGTGTGTGTGTGTGTGTGTGCGCTCCCCCGACCGGAGCTGGTTCAGCGGGCTGGAACACAGCGAGCTTAACAAACACACTCACCTGGAGCCAGACTCAACAGCTGCCTGGCACAGCTGCCTGTCTCCTGGTAACGCGAGTAAAACTGAAAAGCCCAGGTGCGACTGAGTGAGTGAATATGTTTGTGAGTGTCGAGAAGATGGAGAGAGTGAGGAAAAGCAATAGATAGACAACACCGGGTTTGTTTGTCCCTCATCACTCACATTTACTGACAGAATTGTATTCCTAATTATGAAAACAGACACCATCCTCACAGCGATACTTAATATTTGACCGTGAAATATCACAGTTACCACCTCATAAACGTCTCCCTGACTTTTCCCAGCCTCTAACTGGGGGAGCACCATGTGACACTGTGGACAATAGCAGAGGAAGAGCTAAGCCTGAGCTCTGCGGGGACTAGGCTCATGTTTCTGTGACTATTCTAGGTCAACTCCAAGTCAGGCCGGTGAGTTGTGTCCTGAAAATGAGCGCTTCTCTTTCCACAGCAAATGAAAATGTCACTCTCCCTAACCGGCCCTGCGATGGAAGAGCGAAGCCTCAAATATTCCGAAAGCAGCCATGGCCTTCCTGTCTGGCCTAGACGGCACAGCACCTTTCATCCAGGAGGGAAAGCATTGGTTATTTGTGCGCTGTTTTTTCCTGACAGACGTGGAGGGGGCTGTCAGCTGTGCAGAATGACTCAATGAGCCCCTCGACTGTCTACACACAAACACTGTGAGAGGGAGTCGTGGCCATCCATCAAATCCAAAACATTTAAATGAGCTGCGGATTTGTTGCCCTTCAAAAACACTCGAGCTCAAGTAGAATGTGCACCCTGATACACCCCGCATTGTGAAGGGGTTTTTAAATGGACAGGAAATGTCAAACTCCGCATTAATTGAAGGTAGACAAGCCTCGGCTCGCATATTTATCACTTTGTGTCACAAGGGGCCTCAAGTCACCACCATTAAACTAAATGTTGTGCTGGGCACAGTGGGGTTCACGAAATGGACCGAAAAACTGCAGCAACAGGTTGTTTTTTAATGCTAATTATGCTTAAGTTAAGTAAATAATGTATATTGAAGCAGTGACGCATGAGGTGACACTGAACGAATGCACTTGCAATAAAATGCTCTGCTCTGGAGATTGAATTCATGTCCATTAGCCCAATAACACACTGTTTATCTACAGCATATGTGACTGCTCAGGGGACCTCTCATAGACACCTTACCTTAAATTATTCACATGTGTAATATTCTGTATATAAGATGGAGCTGGTGGCACAGTAGTACAGCTGTTAGCACTGTCCCCTCACTTTGGAGTTTAACAAGGTTAATTAGTGACACTTAATTAACTATAGGTATGAGTGTAGATGGAAGGAAAACACTATAGATAAATAAAGGACAGAACCATATACAATACCAACAATCTCATAAAACTACTTCAAGTTCAAACTATAGTTTGGATTAACCCAGATATCACAATCAACACCTCCTGCTCTACGTATAGACTAGTTTCCCTCAGTGTTCCCGAACATAATCTAAAAAAAAATGTTTAAAAGGTGCCCCAAGAAATGTGATCATCCTGAGTTGAGTGTGTGTTTGTTTTCAGCAGTAGTTCATACTGTGACGGAAGTGTTAATTTCAGTGGAAACCACTCTGTTAGTGTTTGGGGCTGGAACACAGCATCCTGGTTACAGGTGAAACCACACGACACCTTGTTGAGCTTAGAGTAGTCGAGGAGGTCAGGTCTGTGTCTATGAATCAGGGCGCAGAAGGCCAGGCCATCCTTCCAGCTGCACCGGCCGACGAGCGGAGAGAACCAACACGTTTAGTTAGAACTCGACTCAGAGAGGAAGCTGTTCCAGGTGGAGGTGCAACAGCACAAAGCTGTTGTCATACTTATAAGATTATAAGATGCTATAAGATTGACTTAGTTATTGTACAAACTATAAATATGCAGATCCCAGATAAAATCACTTGCATGTCCAAGTGAAATTAAAACAATATTTTGGAATAGGTGCCGGCATTTATCATCTCTGTTCTTAAAATATATCAACACGGTAGAGAATAAGAGGACAACCTAGAGTAACGACTAATCGCAGCTATCACTAAAATCAAACAGCTCAGTTAAGAGTATGTGTGAAACTCTGACCTGACATGGAAGTTTTGGACATTGACATTCCTGTAGGGGGCAGTCTTTCTTTGACACCACAGGAGAAGACCTTCCTTGGCAGATGTTTCTGAGGAGAAAGTGAATTCACAGGTTACTTATTTCACTATGTAGCAGAGGTTTGAGATTTAATAGACTCTGATAAAAGATAGAAAATATTCTGAGGACCCCTCATTTATGTCCCTTGGAATAATTGGACATTCTTTACACAACAGGAATATCCCAGATATTAAATATATATAAATATTTTCACCATGTCATCACAGAATACTCATATTTAATGATCATTTTAACACACAGTGTGCCAAGGACCCCCGGGTGTCTTTGAACCCCCATTAGAGAATCGCTATAGTATGCTGCATTTCTGTGCACAGCTAGTTTTTCCTTGGCTGCAGTGAACGTCTACACTCAGTTGACCCGATGTTATCGAAAATGATCTAATTTCTTTGGGTTTCACCATCTCACCTTCCACAGAAATGTCCTGGATGGCGAAGCGGAGGATGATAGTCCAGATCATTCCGAGAGTCATCTTTACATTACCGTCCACAATCTCTGAAAGGCAAACAACCCGTAAAATTTGGTTTGCACAAGACTGATGAAAAAAATCTGATTATCACCCTGATCCATATATGTTCAAATATACAGGAAAGCTGCGGTAACCTTCAGCTCCAATGGAGACCAGTTTCACTCCTTTGCTTGTGATGAACTCCAGAGCTTTGTTGACATTAGCAATCTTATGAAACCGCATCTTCCCTCTGTCTGGCTTGGGTAACCTCTCTCCTGCAAACAGTATTATGTAATGGTCAGCTATTTATGTAACTGGATGTGATCATTACTTTAGACAAAGAAATTGAAAAGAATCGAGAAGACATGAACTGATGACATTTTTTCTTGAGTGGGCTGACCTGAGATAACTTCCAGCAGCAGCATCAGTTTCAGTCCATTCCTGAAGTCTTCCTCGATATTTTCAATTTGAGTTCCAGCTTTCCTCAGGTGGGAGTTACACCAGGCCGTGAAGGTCTAACAAGGAAAAGGGACAAAAACGTGGGTGACCGTGAAAACTGCAGCTATTTCCACACTTCCTGCTACTGATGCATCACACTGAAGGCTTGATATTCCCCTCTGCAGAGGACCAGAACAAACTGAAGCAGCTCACAGCTTAACACGTCGTCACTTCAAGACTGCATTTCAAATCAATCTTAACCTGTTTGACCAGTGCTACATTTTCCGATTAACCCTCAGTGACCCTTCAGTGTCTGGTTTCTTGCTTTTTCCTGCTGTGGCTCCATAACAGCGATCAGGTGAAACGTGGGCTCCTGAAAAACTGTAAATCACTATCAGACGGGCTCATTGTCTTTCTCCTCCTATTTTTACAAAGTCTCTCTCAACAGCCACAGCAGCAGAGTTTACAGGCGCTCAGCACGTTTAGGGATGAAAGCTGGGAGCCGACCACAGAGCACATTCCGACCGATACAAGGTGTTAAATTTAGACGGCTCTGCTGTGCCTCACGATAAGAGGGCGGGAGGGGAAAAAACCGTCGAAACGTCTTACCGTGTCAACATAAGTGAAAATGTCACGTGGATGCAGAACAAGTTCCCCCCCTCACGTCCCTTTCTCTCACTGTGATTGGCTACAGCTGCATGGAGATAACTTTATCACATGTATGCTGTTCTTCCTGGTCACACTCATTACTGTGCTGACGTATGAGGACGGGCAGGCGTGGTGAAAGAATGGGAGCATAGTTGAAATTTCATATTTAAAATCAGGTTCAGGATCAACCACAAGGACGAATATGTTGTTGTCTGCCATGGTAGAACAATCATTCAAAGAAGCTGGCTTTCGTTTTATAAGAGCTTGAATCAATGAGGAGATCAGTAAAATAAAACAACATACAAAAACAATATTTTTCTCTTTTATTTAGAAAAACCTTTTCTTTTACTTGGACTGAAATGTTCCAGATAAATCATTGGAAGTAAGACATTGTGCAGGAGTTTCTTTCTTTTCTCTGACTTATTTCATCCATCTACTGGAGGTTTTTAATAACATTTTGGTCTTTTACTTTTCACCCTCACTCAAAGAAATAGAGTCAGGGGTCAAAGTGTGAACCTGACACTGGGTAAGAGATTCATTAGCTGTTAGCAGTGAAGTCACTCATTAATTTTTAGCAGTTCTCTTTTCTTAATTAGTGTATTTTCACATATATAGCATTATTGGCAAAGTGACATTAATATATATCGAAGCACTTTCCATCCCTTTGTTCTTAAACATCCTTTCACCCAGAGGGATTGGACTGGGTGCCCTTCCAGCCGCTCAGGTTTCTCCTCTGGGTGCTGGTTCAAAAACAGATTTACCAGCTTCAGACTAAATCACATTCCACACTGAGTGGGTCCCCAGGCTCGATGTGACATTGAACTGCTGCCCTCCTTGATGAATGAAAAAAAAAAAGAAGAGAAAAGAACGTGGCCTGCTGCTCCTCCAAATTTGACTCGGCCACAATTGCAAAACCCGTCTGCCCACTTTCCGAGCCCCTCCTCCCGCCACCGCCGCCTCCCTCCTCCCTCTGCAGCACAACTGACCAGTGACGATTACAGCTAAAAATATTCATGAATCACATCCAGTGCGGACCAACCCCGTCACTGCCTTTGGGGCCTCGCTGGGTCAGAGGATGACCGCTCGTGTTCAGAAGGATGGAAAAATAGAAAACTGAATGTTGAAACACGTTGAAATATTCCTCTTCCCTTTTTTTACGTCTTTAGAACCTAGATGAGCACATCCACTTTTTATCCATAACACGTTTGCACTTTCACTTTCTCTGATGTTCCTTGGTTTAAGGTTTAGATTCACACGACGGAGCACTGATGACTTTTAACCATCTCCTTAATAAACCTTTCTGAGTCAGATAATAGATTTTTTTTAGAGTCCACATAGGCACAGTCCCATTAATACCCAGTGAAGAAAAGCTAACACAGCTGCTGGTGGGATTTGAAATAAGCCGACTGCACCACAACATGAGGTGGACAAAAGATTTAAGGCGATTGAAAAGAAATTATTTTTGAAAAAGCAACTAAAAGTGGCCCCTGATGGCAACACTTATATACTGTGAACATATAGGCTGGAGTATATAACAAGCTGCTGGGACACAAATTCATCACCTTCCTTTGTTGTTTCATCAGCTCTGATCACTGTGAACAGCTGCTGGCATGACCACCTCTCTCCAGTGAGCACTTGTCAACTCCAAATTACAATCAGTAAAAAAGATAAACACTGGAAACATGGTGCATATGGACCAGGGACCTGATTATCATACTGTTGCCAAAAATACACAGTTCGGTCATGTCTGCAGGGGCCACACATGGAGGTCATGGGGTCTGGAGCTGTTCGGACTCCACTTGTGCAGAAAAGCAGCAAATCTAATGCCTGGGTCAACTTGTAAAGCCCTAATAAAAGTGTGTGAGGCCGGGGATGTGTATCTGAGAGGAGCTGGTGCTGGTACAATATTTCTGCGTGGTTTCTATAAACAAAAGAATCCCGCACCAAGGACACTGGATTAACTCAGTATAATGCCTTTTGGTCCCGGGGTTTAAAATTAGACGCAGCGTCCATTCTAATCCCGAGAGCGTCATCATGTGTCGGGAGCATCTGTTGACAGCTCGCATTCCGCGCGTATCAGCGGGGGAGAGAGGCGGCGCTGCGCGGAGCCGCTGGAAGCTGGAGCGGCTATTGTTAGCTGGTACCCGCCGCATCCCTGCGCCAGGGCCCCCCTCCCCACCGCAGGAGCCCCGGGGCCGGGTCAGGGCTCAGGCATGCAGGCAGAACCAGGCCGGAAGTGGAGCGTCAAAATCAAACAGCACCATCCAGCAGTGGCGGATCTGGAGGTTTTCTAAATCAGGGGGGCACAGAGGGGCCAATTGTATGTGCAACATGCATGCACAGTTCCTGAATCAGTGAAGTGCACATTTATGTCATTATGATTATTGTTATAACTCTATTGCTTTGAGCAAAGCAAAGCGAAGTTGAATGTATTTTGATCCTTTTTCAACAGCATTGTCTACTAAGAGCTTATGAATTAGAAAATCTATGCAAATTATATTATTATTATTGTTATATTTATTGCTAGTATGTGACTTAATAATAACTTACTGAGAGGTCTGAGGCACTTAAGGGACGATCAGATATCGGCCCATGACCCCACCCCTGGTTCTGGCCTTCTTTCTTTATGGTTTCTTTATGGAGCCACAATTTAAACAATAAATAAAATCTATATTAACACATATCCACGACTAATGTGTCAGAGAGCCATCTCATTTGTACAGTCTTCATTTTTATTGTTGTTTTACCTTCTTGTGGAGAACTCTGTTCAGAAAAGTGTCGTTTAAATAAAGCTATAGTTCTTCTTCTTATTATTATTATTATTATTACTACACAGCAAGTTGGGTTGGTTCGTAATATTTGGGTTCGTAGTGGTTATTCACATTGTCTATCTGTCTTAACCTTCATGCACAGAGTTAGTTACATGAAAACTCAAATAGATTTACTTAATTAAAAATGACAAACATGACTCTCTATGGCATAGTAAGTCGTTAAATGCTCCTGAATTTTATTTTATTTTGAAAGTCTCAACCGGTAGTCCAACTTCATCTTGTTGCATTAACAGTCTCAACAGATCCGTGTAAAACTAAGTTTTAGATTCCTACACATTATATATACATACATCTTTAAAATACATGAAATAAACATTTTAAACGTTTACTACAATGCTGGTTCACAGCAGCTCTGCACCAATCACAAAGCAGCTCGAGTTCCTCTGATCCAGGTTTAATGTATTTGATTCAAACTTACTTTCCTCTGCTGCTGCTCCCAGGCCGGATCCAGCAGCATGTCCCGGTCCCACTCATCCTCCTGCATCATGTACACATCCTCGAAGCCATTGTCGTAGTGGACCGTGGTCTCCACCTGGGTCATCATCATCATGGTGCCGTTCACTTCTCTGTTTCCCCCACAAACTCAAACCCTTGTTATTCCTGAGACTGTGATGTAGACGAGGAGATAAGTTTCCTGACTTCTTCTTCTCTCACGCTTGCCCTTGTCCTCCCGTCCTGACACACGTCTGGCCCTGGTGCCACAGATGAACCAGCGGCCGTGCCATTAGTACTGGGTGGTCACATGACGCCTTCATACCTAAAACCCCCCCCACTCAAACACCCACCCACCCACAAACTGCGGCAGGAGACCTCAGGTCAATAGAACAGTCTTTATTGTAGAAAAAAAAATCAGACTTTCATTTAAAACAAAACAAAACAAAAACATGGGACATATAAATAAAATGCTTCTTCCTTGAAAAACCATTATATTCTCACACTCTAAAAAGCGTTGGTCGCTGACACTGTTACAAACCAACTAGAATCAGTCGCGCTATAAAGTAAAACAAGTATTTAAACTTGTTATGGCACAATGTGGTGTATCCAGTCCACTCCACCGCTTCCTAATGTTCTTGTTCTGTTGTTTTTAGGCTCGTGCAAAACACTGGGACAATCGCGGATGAACAAACATCACAACTTAAATTTAGCAAAATATAACACTTGGCTTTAACGCAGCATATTGGATGAATGGAACTGTAACCTGGTGTGAGCTGTGCGCATGCATACACACGGTATGTTCAAGTACAACCAATCTAACAATAAGTGTGGACATTCAGACGAGTTAAAAACACTGACGTTTTGAGGCAGACCAACAATGACTGTAATATGAGATGATGCATGGCATAGGTTTTCCTTCCCCGACCAGTTTATGTGCCGAGTCCTTTCATTCCTTTCACAGAGCACTTTCTTTACCTTTTATTGCTAAGTTATTAAAAGGAGAGTTTGCTAAAATTTTAATCAGTGAACCTGCTACATGTCAGTTCTTTGTTAAATTATATGCATGGAACAACCCTGGGAATTAACTAGTTTGTGGAAATTATTTGTCTGCTATGAAGGAGGAGTATGTCATTTTACAGAGAAATAATTTACAGCCACCATTTCTCATTGTTTGCCAAGGAGGTCATGGTCCATTGATATGTTTGTATCTCAGCAGGATTGTACAAAAAATACTGAAATGATTACCATGAAACTTGGTGGAACATGGGCCAAGAAAGAATCCATTTAATTTTAGCACGGATCCGGAACAAAGGAACAGAACCAGTGCTTTTCTAGTTCTTTCACATCAGGTCTTTCTGATATTTTCACAAATTTCCCAGAGAATAATTCATGGATCTTGATGGACACAAAAAAAGAAGTGACATATTTTGGGTACTGATATCATGTAGCTGTAGTTTTTCCTTACTCTTGTTGAGGTTTAAGACCTCTGAGACAAATTGAGATTTGTGAATATGGGCTATACAAATAAAATTATATTTAAATGTAGGATTGTTGGGCCTTGATGGAGGTACGTGCAATTTTATTTGTTTTTAAAACTCATTTCATTCTCTCAAAAACCACAGCTCCATGTGCTCTGTTAATGAAATGAGTATACTGCATCAGACTAGCCTGTATGTAAGAAATGAAAACTGTCCCTTTAAGGTTCAAAATGGCAGGGCGGAGGCTGGTCCTGACAGATGCCACCTCACCACAGAGCTATGGTTCATACAGAGTGCAAAGAAAGAACCTGGGAGTGAAAAAGAACGCGCGTGTTTCTCAAAACCACCCGACAACCTTAAGAACATGTCTGTCAGAGCTATGCTAACACTGTCCAGGGGCTCCACGTTAACCCAAACAAACTGTGGGGGCTCGGAGCGTAACAGCTGGGAAAAACAGGAGTGTTTTGAAGAGAGGGAGTGAGCCCCATTTATTCACATGTGTCATCTGTGATCTGCAACAGTGTCCTGTGGGCACAAGGAAGGGGAGACGGGGGGCAGAGCTGTGACGAGGAGATTTGTTTTTTCATCATTCGGTTTCATTTAGGCCACAAGGTCGCCGCCACTCCTGGCCTCGCTCGTGGATCCATTTGTTTGATACTAAAGACGGAATAAAGAAAACAATCAGAACTTGAGACCCAGAACATATGTACACCCATCTTTTAAACCCAAGACTACATCTGTCTTGCTTTCAAATTAAAGCTCACCCCACTTGTTGCCCACCAACACTGGGCACGCTGCATGTCGGGTGCTGTAGTCACCCTCCCCGCTAGCAAACAAATTGTACCAGAACACTGCAGTACCCTGGAACACACAGACAACAGGCAGGAGAGGTTAGCAGCAGTGAACAACCTCCAGGAACAGAGTATCAGTCTCAATATCCTAAACTGACTAAAATTAAGCATTTTGACATTTTAAATAATAATTAGAAATAAACTGAGTACATATTTGTTTGTCTGTGATTACTTAAATGTATGGAAAATTGAGAAATGTTCTATTACACAGACAAATTGGCTTTTTACATGGATGAGAGAATTCTGTTGTGTGACAACATGGCACAGCATTAATAAATTCATTTTTATTTGTGTTCATATTAACCTATAAAACAAATGAAAACAGCTGTGAATTCCTTATATTGAACTAACATTTAGTGAGACAGTAATAGTGGATGTTATGAAGTGAAGTATGAGAACTTATTTACCTTTCGGGGCCAAACTGCTGCACCAACATCTGGAAAAACTGTGGCTCCACCTGCTGAGACGTCACTCATCTACAACAGAGAGAGTTCAGGGGTCATGTGACTACAGGGGGAACATCTATGTTAACATTCAAAACAAAATGTATGTTTGTCTTCAATCTAGGTTGACTGGTTATGATCCCATTTGATATTTTGCTTCATCCCTTTCCCACTTCCATCAAATACAGCTTCCTCCTTACTGCCTGATAGTGTAGCAGGTCCCACTTTAACTTGTATGTTACTTTGGTGAGTATGGGACTACTCAGATTCTATCGCCGTATTTTTTTCTCCTGTTTTCCTATTCATGTCCTCGCTGTTTAAAATGTATATACATGTAAATAAAGAGTGAGTGTCACATGTAGAATACTGAGTAAAGAGTAAATTTGGCCAGAAAATACTTTGTATTCAACAAGTTCACTCACGTAGAAAAGCCATGTTGCGATGCGGTTCCCAGTGCCGAGCTCTTTGAAAGCATCTGGCTCATCTTTCTGTGGAGAAGAGTAAACATCAGGTTTAACGTCCTGCCATGTTACCACTACCTAGAAATGAACTTGTCAATTACAAAGGGTCTTACCCTTCCAAAGTCAAAGTGAGGTTCGTATTGACCTCCAACACCATAATTCGCAACCTGTAGAGATCGATAAAATATGATTTAGGTCTCACAAATGTACCAAACAGTTTTCCCAACAATAATGACATTTACAAAACAAGGTTTCCCAAAGACTGTTTATTTTTTTACATGCAAATATAAACTATGTAGGTTCAATAGAAACAAGGTCTGGATTTTTACCTGCAACTCTTCTGCAGTGTCCATTTCCAGCCCTGTGAGATCTTCAATTCTCTGGTTGATCTTTTCAATCAAGGGGTCTTCATAGCCAGTGAGCCATGCACTGGAATACAGGATGGAAAGCAGACCGGTTGAGAAATAAGGGCAACATGCACAACCGTTCGTCAGTGAGGGACACATTTGTCCACTAGATGGTGGTAAAGATTTCTTCTAAAACAGGCGACAGAGATCTCATGCTGCAAACTTGCCATGACAAGCTCAAACAGAAAGTGAAGCTGTGCGTTACTATCAGATGACAGGAAAATGAAGTGGAGAGGAAAATGTAAAAGAAAAGAAAAACCCAAGATTCAGATACTCCAATCAGCTCAGGGTACATGGTTGTCCTGAATTCAGACTGAGTCTTGTGGACATTTTGCACACGTGTCTGGTTGAGGACTGACACAATATTTTCATGGATTTAACCCTGACACTACCTGCCTTTCATACTCACTCCCACACCCCAGTCTGAGTGAAGGCTGCTCTGCTCTTAACTGAGCTTGCAACAAACTATTTCTGGTAAACGATTAAAACATGTCACAACTCATGTTCTGCAGACCACATTAAAGAGTTAATTGGCTCTTTTTTTTCAATTATCCACATATAAAAAACCCATCCAACCACACTGTGTATTAAGAACCATGTTATTACTATAAAGTCAGCATCACACGAGACAAATACAAAATTAAAAAATAAATTCCAAAACTCAAATTTAGTGAATTTCTTCAGGCATCTGACTCAAGTCCCACCCCTGCAAGGTGACATTTTATCAGACTTTCTGACTGGAAATGTGTTTGTGTGATTCTATTTTATCATTCAAAGTTTGTGTTTATAATGAGTAATAATCTTAGACGGAATGCTGGACCAAATGTGAGCCAACAAATTCTTTCCTTATGGGAGACGGGTCAGCCTCTTCTGAGTTCATCCATCTGTTGCATCTCACTAGATTTGCAGTGAATTTGGAAATACGTGCTTGCCAGCACGTACACACACAAAACATGAAAGGGACACCACACCCTTACGGCCACATCTCCACACTCACATTTATTACCAGGAGGAGTAAAACCAAAGAAACTTGGGGTTTTGGTGGGATGCCAAACCTTCTATTTTTAGGGTGGGGTGAACGTTTAACAATGACAAATATATCTGCAAAATAAATTTAAAGTACATTTGCAGTTTACATCTGTGTATTTGCACATCCAGACTCAAGTTTTGGAAGTTTCTTGCTGATATAGAAGTTAAAGAAGCACAGTAGAGCCACAGCAGCTGTCATGAGCTCGTATGAGAATGTGATACAGCCTCATTCCTGGAAAGTGCAATTGGGAATAGAGATTTCCTGGACATCACATACTGTACAACTTGAGGTAAAGAAAACAGCCTGTCAACTGTGCAGTTCTATGAAAATACCAAAATTATTTAGGCAAAGACAAGTTCAGTTACACCAAAAAACGAAAGAGGAATATTTAACTTGGTTTAAATGATTTTTTAGCACAGTTTGGTGTCTTGGTAGAGAAGTGCTAAACTTTTCACTTGAACCAAATTAAAACCGCATCTGTTAAGTTTTCATGGTGGAAACTTAACATTTTCATTGTTGTTCCGTGGTTAGCTTGGTGCACGGCTGAATTAGTGTGTCAGCCAGGGCGCAGAGATAAAGATGGAGTTAAATATGGAGGAGGGGAAGGTGGCCCTCCCTGTAGACCTGTGCCCCTTACCTCTTGGAGACTCTGTACTGGGCTGTAGTGAGTTTCCCAGTTTTGGGGTCATGCACCGTGGCTCGCCTTAACTACAGTAGTTCCGCGGCACAAGGACACAAAGGTTGAGGGGGAAAAAAAGATTACAAAAAGGAGGGGGGGAAAAAAGGACAGTTTGGTTCACACAGGAGGATGAGTGGAAAGCAAGAGAAGGAATGAGAGAGAAATAAGAGAGAGAGAGAGAAAAGGCAGATGTGGTCACTAGTTGTCAATGTTATTCTTCAGAAAGCCCAAGAGACGTGTTTCATGAGGCAATGCTAGAAACCAAATCTCATTTTCAGAAACTGGATTTAACGACTCTGATACACATCCTGGCTCAAAAAAAAGCAACTATGTTAATATTAACTAGCAGAAGAAGTAACACACTTTCCCCCTCTTCTAACTTCTTGTGTTACTTTTCTATAGCAGACTCCTGAGCAGAAACATATCCACACAAGTTCCACAAGAGCAGCAGCAGAATCCAAACAATATTCCTCCAAAGAACAGTTGTTCCAATGATACATGTATCTTGTTTTTCTTCAATTTTTGAAATAGCACCACAAGATAATGAATTTGAAAAAAGCAAGACCTATAAACCAAAATGTGTATGCTCTGATTATTCTCATTTGGATCCTGTGCTTCAGCTCAAGAGCCTTTGAGCTTTGGTAGGGGCGGAGAAACGGCGAAATCGATATGGACAGACAGGAATACACAGGAGAGATGGAATGACACGCTGAGGGAAAAAGGAGAAATCCTCACTTTCCCCTCTCAGCTCTCTCCTACGTCATCCTCTGTTCTTGGCGGCTCCTGGCTCTGCCTTACCTTTTGCTGATCCGGTATGGAGCTGTCTCCAGCACTCCTGTGATGGGGTTGGAGATGGTGGCCCTGCGCAGCTGTGAAGCCAGGGACACGATTTACCCACACACAAAGATGTGTGTGTCTGTGTGCTTGTCCAACATATGAACCAGCCTCACAGCTTTGACATCCCACCCCTCAACATTATCAACTCCACAACAGAAATTAAAAAATCCTAACACTCACTAGATTTTAATGATAAACTGTTGTGACCATTGTGTTTATGTATGACAAGGGAGCATGGAAGAAATACTTACTCTTGGCTTTGCCAGTTGCTTGACCCTTTCCATTTCTTTGTCTGAAATGATATCAAGGTAGCGGACAATGTAGGGGCGGTCCCACTCATCTTGCTGTTTGACAGGTGACAGCACATAACTGGGGTTGTGTTTGTTGTCAAAGTAACGACAGAACAGTCGGCTCTGCCTCCGGGGGGTCTACCAAGAGACAGGGAAAGACGTTAATAAGGAGGTATAAACTAAAAGTTGGAAATTGTGTGTCTCTTTGACTTCCTCACCATTCTGATGCCCTCCCCACGACAAAGCATCTCATACTTCTTCCTCTCAGGAACCTGCTGATTGGTGATGTTCTTTCTGGGCTTCTTCTTCTTTTCACTTGTTCCTTTTATGCCTTGCTCCTTCTGCACTAGACGTTCACTCTCCTCAGCCTTTTTTTGCTTCTCCAACTGGAACTCAAAGTACTTCCGGTTGCCCTTGGCTCGCTGGTGCTCTGGGTCTACATAGGAAAAATCCAAAACCAACAGTATAGTAATACTGGTCATCACAAATAGCGATACAGGCTATCAGCTATACCTGGATGGTGTTTAGCACTGTCCAGATTCTACTTTATGAAAGTAATTCTGAAAAAAGCTGTAATAAAGCCATGTCCCATCTACATGGAGGCAGAGTTTATGACCTACACAGCAGCCTTTCAATTAATGGCGACTAAGATGTTTTGGTTTCACTTCTGCTGTGTTGTCAATGCATTGAAAATATATCACTTCCCTTTGCAAAACATGTTGTAAAAATACTTTGTGTATGGAGACTCACCCAGTTCAAGCAGCCTCATGGTGAACACAAGGGCGCGATCTATATCCCCCTGCTGGTAGATTGCATAGCTGAGGTAGTCAAGCACCGTCACCTTGTCTAAAGTGGACTCTTCTCCCTCATCGAGCTGCTTCAGGGCCTGGGCCATCCAAAGCTCTGTGTGGTAGTAATCAACATCGGAGTAGGCGATTTTCCCCAACTCGTAACAGTCCTCTACTGTCATATGGCTCTTGTGTTTCACTCCTAGTGTGTAGAGGGTACAAGATGGAAGCATTAACATAAAAAACTAAATCACATTGCTTATAATGCAAATCACACAGAAACCAGGAATAACCTTCTGTTGCTTCACACTCACTTTGTTTGTGATTTGTATTAATAACTTCCTGAAAAAAGGTTGACCACAGATAGATGTGGTATGCACTGATTTAAGGCCCTTACCAGGAAGGTCTCCTACAGAGATTGTGTTAGCGTCCAATCTGTATGTGTCTTGTAATCGGAGGAGAGCTTTAGCAGCCCCAGTTTGGTCCTCATCTGTCGGGAAGTACTGTCTCTGGATGGTGAGGTTGGAAATGAATCCTAGGAGAGATAGACAGAAAAGGACAGAAGAGATATAGGATGATTCTGTGTGGAATAAATAAAACTCAGCCTTGTGAAAAATATATACTCTTTCCAAATGCGACTGTTATCTTGAAAGATATAGTTCCATTAAGCCACATGTGGAGAAAATGAATGAGTCATGTTCTCTTTTACCTCAGAAACTTCTACTGAAATACTGTATGTCTGGAACAAATATGCTGCACAACATAAATAAAGATCTTCCCTGGATTTGTGTTAAAATTATTTTTCTTTAACTTTTTGATTTGCTTTAATTTAATTATTATCGGATCTGGCACAAAACACCAAACTACGAGGTAGTATCAGCATACAAGATTGTTGTTGAGTTGTAATGTGAACCAGGTTTTCTTTATCTGTACCATCAGTGGTGTCACTGAGGACAAGGCTCTCCAGGTCACCCCACTCTGTGTTGAGTCTCTTCATCAATTTGAAGGCGTTCACAGGATGCCCCAGGAAGCCCTCGGGGTCCAGTATGGCTGTGGCTGTCAACGAATCCAGCTTATCAGCCCACCTATCACAAAGAAAGTAATAAAGTAAGATGCATTGCTCACAATTGAATCCACAAGCAATCGTACATTTTAACAATAAGTGTTATGGACTGTTTATATGGACCATTTGGTACAATTGTGTAGATAGACGCATATATGTGTTTCATCCTTTTCCACAAACTCACCGTTTCACCTGTTCAAGCTTGTTCTCCTCTGCTTTGATGTAGTCCTTTAGAGAGGTGACGAGGTCTTTCTCTGTGTATAACAGATCTGTCATCTGGCCTGAGGAGTCAGAGACATAATCAGTAGTGCAATGACGAATTACACATGGATTCACATCTTATCATTTCGTGTTGTAAGATGGCATTTTCTATGTTTAGTTAAATATGCACGTTCAGTGGAGAGACTATTTATTTAGAACATCAGTGCCATATGTTGCTTGATTTTTTTACCTATGGAGGTGAAGAAGTCATTGTGGGCTGAGAACAACGGCAGGCAGCTCAGCAACAGTAAGCACCAACTTAACAGCTCCATCCTAAACAAAGGGTGAGAGAATTAAATCAGTTATTTTTAAAAAGTACTTGAAAACTGAAGGTTAATCATTGAGTGTCATGTGAGACCAATGTTTGCAGCACTCTCAAAACTAAAGATTTGTTTGAAGCAACTTTGTTTTTGCAATCTACAAATTGAAAACATGGTTGTTAGCTCTATTTAAAAAAAAAAAGTAGCCTTTAAGATCAGGGACGGTTTTAAAATGTTGAGGGTCAATTCAGATCCTGACAATACACATATAAACATGTGTTATAAGAGGCATTTAAAAGAGCTAGTCAGTTGGATCTGGTCATGAGAAAATAGCTATAAAATAGCAAAGCAAAATGAATAATCAAAGCCTTGAACTAAAAAGACTTGGACTTCGTAAGTGCAGCCTCCTACCCGCCACACAAAGCCAAATATAAGTCTGTGGTTGATGTTAGTGTCTGGTTGGGCTTTGGAGTTGGCACAGCTGTGACTACCACTGTGATCTTTCAGCTCATATACACAGAAATCAGAGCACAACACAGACAGACAGGACATGACAAGGTATGTCCAGGAAATTCTGTGTACACACAGTATCTCAAGAGTGCTTGGACTGTAACTTTCCACTTCTGTATGAGATTTGTGAACTGACCATGCCAGTTTTTCTAGATCCATTAGTGAGTTCAAAATATGGAATGGACTCCATATTTTGTAAAAATAAAAAAAATATTTTGTGCTGATTATGACATGAAATATATGTATAATACAATAACGTATATATAAAATTTGCACATGCATACAAGGAAAAATACACCCACATATACTCTTTGCTTCACAAGTACACACATACACCTAGCAGCAAAGTATGTTCATAAAGTTCTTGCACGAACTGCCCATCTACGTAGATTTGCATGAAAAGTCTTCTACTGGAAGCAGACAACAAGCTCAGGCAGGTTCAGAATTTGAACGAAAGTTCAGTGAAAATAAAAGAATGACCTCACATGGGATTTTAATTTAGGTCAGCAGGAAAGAAAATAAATCTGAGAGAATTTATTAAATTAGGCATAGCGCAATTTACCATTATCCTTTACTGCTGCTGCTACACTATTTCCTGTATATGTGGTGCCGTAAGTATGCATCTGCCACTTAGATTTCCAGCAGGATAAAAGAAAACAGTAGAATGTAATTACTGTAATGACAGGGAGACAGCCACTGTGCTGTAGAAGTGTAACGTCAAGGACAAAGCTGTGAGAGCAGCTGTTGTAATTTAGATCCATAATTCATACCAAACATGAGAGTGAGTGGTAGTGAAAGTGTCTCTGTGGATAAACGCTGTTCTGTGACATGTGAAAAACATTCCTGATGGAGCACAAACCATTTAACATTTAACCTGCGGAGACACTTGTTTAGACAGAACACGGAAAATTCTTCAGGATAATTTGGCTGCAGTATTTTTCAGGACCTCAAAAGTTATAAGTAAACTAGGTTTGCATGTTCATTATATGACTCTTCTTAATGTTCTTAATTCTCGCAAATATTACCTCCATAAAATAATAAATGTATGCTTTGTTTGAGACTGGCCAATAAAAATCAGCCTTTCATATATACTGGTGTTTATGTTTGATGAAATTAAAACTTATTGTACAGAATAAAATGTTTATATTCATATTTTACATTTTTAAATATATCTCATTTCTCAGTTCATGTTCTATATATTTGGTAAGTTTATGGTGAAACTGGAAAATACCAATTACATCTTAGGAATCATATCAGTTTTTATATTGATATCAAATGTTTCACTCTCTAATATCGGTGTTGACATCAGCCCCCCCCCAAAAAATCCAGCTCATTCTGGCTTTGTGGTTTGTGCTGACTTTGGGATTTTACGTCACTGTTGTGTCCGGCTATTGTTTCCTGGACAAAGTTACTGACCTATATTAAATGAACAAAGCTATGAAACACCTTGAGGAAACTCTGCAGTATTCCACAGTTATCATCCTAACGTGAGAACCTCACTGCTGCTGAATGAATGAATGAATCCTGTGCAAAAAAAAGTTCTGTGCTAGAAATTCAAGGGCTTTTAATTTTCCCAATCTGATGAGACCACAGCTGCTGAGCTTCTGATCAAATGACAGACGTCTCCTCTCTCCTCCTGCCCTGAGCTGTGTTGTCTTCTTCTTCTTCTCCTCCTCCTCCTCCTCCGGGCTCCACAGGGAGAGCAGCAGAGGAGTCAGGTTGCACCGGAGGTTTCGCAGGATGTGGACGGAGGAGGACTGCCACGTCCTCGCCCCTCCCCGCCGGAGACAGCTCATGAGAGGGCTGCACAGACTGCACCGTGGAGCCGGGGGACTGAAATACTTGAACCTGCAGTAACCTGTCGATAACCCCATGCTAACTGACTAACAGCAGGGGGGGGGCGACTAATACCTGGAGGCTGTTGGGTTACTTACTCCTAAACTAGTCTGGAGGGAGAAGTTGGATTTGTTATGGTGCAAATATTCCCACTAATATCAGCTCCTAGTCGCGATGTGCACCAGACTGTGTGACTACTGAAGTCAGATATATTGACTGCACAGAAATAAAATCAATGCATTCCTGTTTCAACACAGAGCTGGATGGAGGCAGCTGCACTGCATCGGTATTCCTCCACATTGACGCTACTTTCACGCACAAAATGCTAACTATTATTTTCATTACTATGTATTTTCTCGCCTTTCTTTCGCTGAATTCGCTCACTTCACCCCCTGGTTCATCTGCCCACTCCGATGACATCGTTTCCCCCACACGCCAGAACCATCACAAAGTGCATAGTTTCCAACAAAGTTAAGCTAGTTTTCTGCTAGCTTAGCGCCAAGCTAACTTAACTTTGAAAATAATGGAAATTAGCTTCGTCTAACGGTCCCGACTGAAAACACACTGCGAATACCCGCAGTTGACACGAGAACTGTCAGATAATTAAAGTTTTTACACGTGTCAGCTTTGGTTATTTTATCCCATTCAAGGAGTGAGGGGTTTTTTATTTATTTACCTTGACGAGAGCATCCAGGGGGAGTTAGCAAGAATGCGAGCGGCTCGGTCGTCGGGTTCCCCTCAGCTCCTGCAGCCGGACTCCTTGCACTGGGATCGGTGAGAGAGACGAGCACGGACCGGGCTCTTCCTATCAGTGGTGTTCCGGTGATGCACTGCTGGCCATCTGGTGGTAAGAGGTGGATCTCAGTTAGTGGATCTCAGCGAGTACGTGCAGATCCTCACATTCGCCCGGCCGCCTCTTACTATAAGGGGGCTGGCGTCTGTGGAAGCAACGGGGAGGTGTCTGCAGACGTCTTGACCCGTGGAGAGGCTGCACACACACGGATCCGTATTTATGGTTTTTCATGAAAAAAAAAAGAGAAATGAGAGTGTGTCGTCACTCGTTTGCCACGTGTTGAGAAAGTTATGCAAGAAGGAGAAAGATTAGATTTTCAACCACACTACAAACTGTTGATTTGTGAGGTTGTGAAGTGTTGACCATGACTTCAGCATTGCACATTTTGATTGTTCTTAATTTTAAGTTTTCTTTTTGCTTTCCTCCCGTTTCACATTCTTTCCTTTTTCTCCCCCATTCCAGAAAATTCCTTCCTCCCAAACCCAAAGCTGTGACTGGAGGGAGGGAATTCCTGCTGCATGCATCTGAGGTCAGGAGGGTGGAGCTAAAAGTGTGTGTGTGTGTGTGTGTGTTTGTGTGTGTGTGTGTGTGTGTGTTTGTGTGTATATAGCAAGGCTGTTAAAACTGACTGCATCATTTCCAGATGCACACATGTGTGCGTGATGTATGCAGTATGAATGGGACTGTGATGAATTCTGGGTATTTGCAGGCCCGTCCTGGAGCAAGTCAAGCATGAGAGTATGAGAGCACCATCACTGTGGTCCCTGGTCTGAATCCCAGTTCCTCTTGGGTCTGTCTGAGTGGAGTTTGCAGATTGAGGTTAGGATAGTAGGAGACTCTATAAATTGACAGTACTGTGAATGGTAGTGTGATTCTGTCCAGGGTGTACTCTACCTCGCGCCCATTGTCAGCTGGGATTGGCTCCGGTTTCCACCGTGGACCATCAAAAGGACAAGCAGTACAGATACTGGATGAATGATAATCATATAAATAGCAAATATTCAAAACCTTCTAGCTTAAAATTAAATACCTTTTGGTTTTGTTGGACAAATTTGAAGACATTACATTTCAGTCTGAGAAACTATGATGGGAAGAATAATTTGTAATGTAAAATGTAATAAATAGACTAATGCACCACGGTCAAGAGAGCTCGTCAGCAGGTTTTTTTTCTTTGGAGACTGCAGAAATGTGGAATAAATGCCAGCATCCTCACAAACTTCTACTGGTGAACCATCGAGAGCTTGCTGACAGGCTGCATCACAGTGCAGAGAGCGGTAGAGATGGCACAACCCATCACTGGATAGATGTCCTGGCAGTCTCTCAGCCGTCCAGGACATCTACCACCAGTGTTGTCTACGACGAAGGGACACACAACAACAACATTTTATATTGTAAGCTCTTTCTACCTTGTTTTTATTTTAATTTAAATTGTTGAATTGTTAATTGTTAAACTTGAAACTTAATGTACATTTTACATTACATCAACTATCACTAAACAAAACACCATACCAGGGATTATACAGATTCATACGCAGGTCACATACTTAAACATTTGTATGAATACTGTTGTAATTGACAAGAAACACTGTGTGGAGCTTGATGGTGAGGCAAGGTTAAAGTCACACTTGTGGGGGGAAATATATTCATATCCAGTCTTTCTTGCAGTTCAAAATCCAAATCTGTTTGTTTAGTCTCAGCTTATTTTATACATTCTCTCAACATGAACTGTGGGAAGTAAAATACATTTTCTTTCAATGTGCTCTGCAGAAAGAGCTTTTCATTCCCATTCTGCAGTCATCGGCGGATGTCGTCCAGGGAGGTGAGTCTTCTCCCAAACAGCTGCTCCTCAAAGGTCAGCAGCTGACGCAGGAAGTTCACGTTGGGTGCCGTGCAGGCCCTCCTCTCCTTCAGCCAGTGCAGGGCATGAAGCAAGGACCAGCGCCGGTGCTCCATGAGGAAGGCCAGCGTTAGTGCCGAGCTGCGACTCCTGCCCATGCTACAGTGGACCAGGACACGACCAGCCGGCTCACCCCTCAGTGCCGTGTTGATGAAGCTGGACGCCAGGGGCAGGGCCTCCACCAGGTCCTGCTGGGCATCGTCGCTCAGACACAGCCGCAGGTAGCACAGCGTGTTAGGGAAAGCGTCAGGGTAGTTGGCGGTGGCGTTGACCACGTGCGTGATGTGTAGATTTTTGATGATGCGGTAGTCGGAGGCCTGGGGGGCTGAGCCCTGGTAGAGAGCTCCTTCCAGGATCTCTGAGGGATAGATGGTGAGGGTGTGCCGCTCAGGTTCAAGCAGGACCATACGTGGTGTGCACAGGAATGGGTAGAGGATGTAGAAGGCTGAGAATCCCCCCAGCAAGATGACAGGATCCATTCCCAGATTACTGAGCTGGAAGAAACAGCGCTGGAGGTCTGGGGAGTCAGTCCTGGCCTTCAAACTACCCACTGAAATGTGGAAACAATTAAGAACAGTCTACAGTCATGTTCTTGGCACTGACAAATTTTGAATGTGGTGCTGGATAAAAAGTTAAAAGATCACCAGAGTCTTAAAAACTTGTTCAGAGTGGGCCATGAAATTCTTCAACGAATTTCATGTCAATCTAAGAACAAAATGTCGACCTGCTTGGTGATTACCAAAGTCAGTTTGGATTCATCCTCTGTGGATCATGAATGTCTGTAGAAAATGTCTTTGCCACATGCAGTGATCTGACTTAATCATTGACACAGACTCATGTTGTCCAGTTTATGTTCTTCTCTGCATGTGTGTTTGTGGGAGAACATGGAAGTGCGTTGCTGACCTGGGCTGCATCCTTCCTCTGCGTACAGCAGTATTATAGAATACTTCTGCAGATCTATACAGCTGATCAGACAGCCCAGCTGAGGGTGGATCACCGTCACAGCGGCCCGCGCTGTCACCACATGGCAATCCTTGTACCTAACGCACACAGTAAATCTTTAAATGCACATGTATCATAACTCTGCTTTCACTATTTTCACTGTACGTCTTTTCATTTTTGGTTTTCATATTTTCATGGAATTTGTTGACAGTAAGGGAAATATAGAGGATTGCCAAACCTACAATTCAAAATAGATAAAATGTCCAAAAACTGTTATATAAAACATATATATGAGCTCCTCTTATGACCAAAAAAAACTACATTTTCCAAAATTCGAACATAATTGGATAAACAAAGAAACTACTGCTCAAAGTAATACAACTCTGTACAAATTTCTATGCCTTTTTCCTTTGTGTTAAAACAAGTTTTCATTCAAAGCTGGTAACTTTAAGTTCATGTCCTGCTGGGGATGTTCAGTATCTGTGCAGTGCCCACCTCTCTGCACTGCGGCAGTCCAGGATGAGGATATAGTATGGATCGTGTAAGGCAGGCTGGCCCTCCTCTGCGCACAGCAGGTTGTACGCTTGCTGTGGGGTGATGTAGCCTCGCTCCACACAAGCTGTTTCTGGAAGAGCAGGAACCAGCACCTCCTCTGGCTCACACACCGATGAGGAAATGCAAAGTGGGTCTGAATGTGTGTAGTTGTGTGTGTGCTTAATTTTCTGTGTGCAAGTTAGAAGTCCGAAATACAACCTTTACCTTTGTTCTGGGTCGGTATGATGGAGGAATGGTCACTGCCTGTACTATTGGCTTCTCTGTCAAAGATGCTGCTCTCTGTTTGGAATGAGTTGACAGGCTCTCTGGAGGCCGCTCGACAACGGCTGTTCACTCTGACACAAACCGATGCACAAACAATCTCAGACGGTTGATGATGATTAAACAATTAGATTTCAGTAAAAAAAAAGATTTACCTGGACAGTACTACACCCATCTTGATAAAGTCATTTGGCAGATGCATCAACCTTTCCCATCAGGGGCCTTCAATAGAAGAACATGCTGCACTAAGAAACAGATACATGTTGTAAAAACAAACTCTGAGAAATAAATCAAGAAAACCCACCATGCAGAACTAGTTCCTGCTTCTTTCTCTGCCCCGCTGCAGCCTCTGCCTTAATTTAACTGGTGGTCTTGGAAACGCAGCAGTGGCTAAGTGCTCTAGAGGACCACATGGTAGCTGGCTGTGACAGGTAACAGAGGGGAGATGTGGATTGGACTCCTACTTTACTCAAATTATCTCCCAGTGTTTGCTGTGCACGCAAAAAGGTTTCAAGTTGATCATAAAACCAAACAGAGATCAGGACAGTTCTTATCAAAGAGGTTATATTGATTTGAATTGGAAGAGGAGGCATTCAATATAACAGAGATGTTGCCAAAAATCTTTTATTGGATGGTTTAGTTTTCACAAATTTGTGGCACAAAACGTTTTGAACAGACATTTTTGTCATTTATTGCTTATTCCATGTATAGTTATGTCTTTCTGTTGAACTCTAATCATTAACTGTTTGTTAAAGGGTTGAAAGTTGAAAGTTTATCTTAAATCTTCCAAGTGTTGGCAACAGTCACGGGGTAACGCACTAGTTTATCAGTTACTGTGTTACGATGTCAAGTTTCAGCTCCACAGTGAGAGACATGCACTGAACAGGTAGATGCCATGAAGAGAAGCCATTACTGCATTTCAAAATGTTAGATTGTGATTTTTACATCAAAATAAAAGTAAAATCCCAGTGTCATTTCTGATACACCCACATAAAAGCCATTTTTTGTAATGTTTTGTCCAGTGCACATAGAGATGATTTACTTTCATTAAGTGATCACATGCTGTGTATGGAAACACGACACACATGTTGCGAGGCAGATGTATTTTAAGAAAAGAAAAATTATTATTAAGTACTTGTCTGGCAAAACTACTTATATACAGGAAATGTATTTAGATACTATTCACAACTAATATTGAAGAAAACATATGTAGCTTGATTTATTTTGCTAAGTTGTGTTTTGAACATTGCTAATTATACAAAGGGGTCCTAAACTTGAGAGAGAGAAAAGAGGACGATGAGTAATGACACACAGAGGTATAAGTAAAAGGCTTTTGAGGCCTGCTGGCTTGCTGCTATTGTGTTCTGGATCAGTCGGGGTGCTCACGCTGCTACTGTGTTTGTCTGAGCTGCAGAGAGCACAGGCCTCCATCCTCTTGGTCTGTTGAGTTTGTTTACTTAAGAAGACCCTCAGTCATGCAGCTATGTGGCTGCTGGACTCCATGATGGCCTGTGTAAACTACAGAGGGATCCAGACAGAAGGTGGGGGTGCAGCTGGAGACGGACTGTCAGGAATGTCACAAACAGGTGGTAGAGCTGAGAGGAAGCAGAGCCAGGATTTACTCACTCGGCTTCAACAATGAGGTAAGAAATCTATAATCAATATAAGACAGACAGATAGATGGTCAAATTCCTCTCATGAGGCTGAAAGAGTCTCACATTCACTTATCCTGTGTAATAAAATGTATCAGCAAACCTTGATAGATTCCACAGATGTCTGCTCTATTTCTGTGTATGTTCAAAGAAAATGACTTTCACGAGTCTAATTGACCACCTATCGGTCGCCTCTGTGTTTATGGGTGAACAAAGTGACCAAGACCAAAGTCCATGCGGACACAGTGTGGAAACACATGAGGTGAATGCCCGCGGCACAGAGAGCAGGAGCCAGAGACACGTTCAGCAGAACGAGAGGGAGAAGCAAATTATTATTATAACAGTGAGATTATTTGTAGGTGGTGACAGGACGGCAGTGACAGACACTCAGAAGTAATGAGTGAAATATGAAGATGAAATATGACTTTATGAGAAAATGCTGATGGTGAGTTAAAATTCTCGTGATTTCTCTATGTTCTTGCCTTTTTTTTTTTAACTATTTACCATTTATTCAAATGTTTTTTTTTATTCAAACATTTTAAGAATGCAGTTTTATAAGCTTTACCTCCAATGATATATATGCACCGTTATATGACCTTTTTTGCTGATATTATTGATATGGTCTCAGATATATATCTGATTATTTTTATTGTATAACTTAATTTGAGGCTTACATTTTAACCTAAATCTCCAGGTTTTATGAGATTATTTTACACAGATAGGTGACTGATTTTTAAAAAGTATTATCTTCATTTCTTGAGCTTGAGCATTTAAATTTCTAACTGGTAAATTACAGAGGCTAAATGAAAGCGACAGCGAGTGAAGATGTTGTTTCAGCTGCTGGTTGAATTTCTGTTGTTCTTGACATCTTGATTTCCATATTGATCTTTGTAGTTGTCTTCATGTGAATGTCTCTTCTCTCCACATTGTCTCCGAACAACAGATCGTTGTGTCTCAACAGGAAAATCTGCACAGAATGAGAGCATGTCTTTCAGGTATAAGGTTTATATAATTTATATATAATCCGTGTTGCCCTGGGAACCACTGAAATGAGAAAACAGCTGTATTTATAAAACCAAATAGGAAATTTACTTTTCAAGAGGTTGTCAACCAAACAATTCAGCAACCAGTGAGCATTGTAGAACATGAAGCTGACCTTTTCTGTTATTCTGGTAGAAAAACTTAGAAACTTAAATTTCATTGTACGATTCGTCTCTGCTCCCCTGTGCAGTTCAGGGAGGTGGAGGCAAGGACGTTGTGCTTCAGCAGCGAGGAGTCTCTCAGCTAATCGTGCCCTGAAGCCCCTGGTTCCCGTCCTCTGCCTGGTGGTCGTAGTGATATATGGCCTGGCTGACAAACTCCGTAACTTTGTGGCCGGCATCTTCATCCCTCAGTACCATTACCCATACGCCGTGGCTCTGTGCTTTGGTCAGGTTGGTACCCTGCTGCTCCCTGGAGGCTCTCTATGGACAATTTATCCAAATCTTTTATCTAAATAAAACAATCATGAATGAAACGCTTTCAGTTCTACCAAGTGTGACAACACTGCACAGTGTGGCTCCCCTGCTGTCTCATTGACACAGAATCATTTTCATGATCTCTGACAACAGGCCGAATGGAATATCTTTATTATTATATTTTAAAATTTCCCTCACACACAGTCGGCAAAATATTAATTACTAATATTTTTAATACTGTGTGAGTGTAGAACAAAGACGGCTCATTAAGAAATCTTTAAAAAAATAAAAGAGCTGTTAATCATTACTGCAGGTAACTTCATGCCTGCACATTTTTGTGTGTGTGTGTATGTTTTGAAGGACAGGGAAGTGTGTGTGTGTGTGTGTGTGTGTGTCGAAGGCTGTAAAAAGGTGGATTTATGGACTGACATATTCTTGCAGTAATATCAGGGATCTCTATCAGGTAATAACAGGCATGTGATTGGTCTGTAATCTAACCTTTAACGACACTGATTATCCTCTCAGGGTCATGGGGGGCTGGAGCCTATCCCAGTTGACTTTGAGTGTCGACCCCCATTCAGGTCACCAGCTTTTAATTCCAACTAGTACATTATGCTTCAGAACCAAGTTGAGAAGAAGAAGCTAGAATATTTTGTATATTTAGATTAAGAGGCACAGAATCAACCGATTATTGGTTTGTATCATTCACATGTCAGGAATTTAAAATCTGTGCACTTTATGTTTAAATCACACCAGTTCCTGCTTCATATGACGTCCATTATCCAAACAAGTTGCAGCCATTAGTCAAGACCAGCAGAACTTTATCTTTGAGCATTTGTATACAGTGGTGTGTAAACTGCTTTATAATGACATTGTGAAATCCTCCCCAGGTTCTGATCTCTGTGTCAGTCTTAAATCTCCTTCATGTCCTGGATCTGGTGCCTCTGAAGTGTTACTCTAGGTCTCTGGGTGAGAGGGTGTTGGTGCCGGCTATCTGTACCAGCACCCACGCCGTGCTGGCTACGTGGGCCCAAGCCAGCAGTGTGTACTCCGGCCTCTTCCCCACTACGCTGCCCCTGCTGCCGCTGTTAACTGTCGGCTTTAGTTTTGCCCTGAAGCTGACGTCTCTGCCATCTCTCCACATCTCTGTTCTGATCTCCATCCTGACTGGGACATCTCTCGTCATCACAGGTAAACAGTCAGATGATGTTTCCAGGTGAAATCGATGGATCTTAACCTCAACAAATTAACCTTTAATTGATCTCCTCTCTCTCTCTCTCTGCAGTTTCCAAAGGTGTCTCGGTTATTGAACCTCTGGAATACATGTATGCACCTCTGGCTTTAATCCTCCACAGTGTCTCTCTGACCTGGCTGGCTAAAGTGTCTGAAGCTGAGCGCCACCACTCCCCTGATGCCCAAGCGTCCATATTTGACATCTACTACGCCCAGCTGGTGAACCAGAGCTGGGTGCTGGGCCTCCTGTGGCTGCTGCACCCAGACAGACCCTGGCAGGTTCTGAGTCGGGGCAGCTGGCACACTTTGCTCTTCCATGGATACCTGCTCGCCATCCTCCTGCTGGGGATGGTATTGAACTTCCTCGTCAGTATATCGGCTCTATGGGTGTCGCCGCTTTCTGCTGCACTGCTCCACTCAGCACGGCAGGTGGTACAGCCATTCCTTCTCGTGTAGTTTTACTTTAAAGGACTGTACCAGTGAAACAAGTACCAACTGTGTTTTTTTTTATTCTATGGAGTAAAACAAGTTGCTGTTTAACGTTATACATTTATACCTCCATGTACTGCGGTCCTAAGGACATTCCACTTAACCAAGGACAATTCAGATTACATATAGGGAGGGGCAACATGTCTTGTTTGTGATTGGACAGAACCCAAGTCTGAAGGACAGTTCAATGTCAGTGTTGATGTGTTGGACCTTCAGGGCCTGTGCATATTTTCAGCTAAGATAAAATGAGAATGAGGAATTCTAACCAGCATGAGCAAATATACAGGTATAATAAGCTACTGATTTACACTTGAGTCTAAACCTGTTAAGAGCAGTTAGCCTTTATCTTAATTCTGAGTTTGAGCACCTGCGTCTGTACGGGACACGACGTACCAAATCATCCCGAGACTAAACCACATGAACGAGTGACAGACTGTGAATGTAATGTTACAGTGGAAGCTCTCTGACAAAGAAACCTGTACAAACAACTTGGATCAGAAAATACATCATTTAGAGAACGTGGCACCAAAATATCACAACAACCCACTTGTTTTCTGATGTATATTTATGAAAAACTGACCATAATTGAGGATAATACATAAATAATGAAATAATTTCTTAATAGTTCTTTATCACAGACCTCTTGTTGATGTTGTTATTATACTCAACAGTAACTGAGAGATTGAAGGTCCTATCTTTCACTCAATACATTTTCAACCACAGCTTTGTGGAAGTTGTCCTCAAAAGACAGGTGTGAAGGGAAAACAGTATTTAAGCTGAAATCCTTGACTGAATGACTAATTAACCAGAGGAGGTTGATCTTAAGTGAATGTGACAGCTGAGATATGTCAGATGATAAGGGACCACGATGAGGGGAGAGTTAAATGGTGCTGGTCACAATTTCTGTCAACTACATTTAACAATGAGCTAATAATATTCAGCTTTTACAAATGTGCAGTAAATATGTATTATATTTAAAAACAGAGGTTCATATTTTACCATTTAAAATGTTATTTAATAACTGAAATGAATTTACTTGCAAAAATATTTATTCTGTTTCCAACTTAAGAAAGTAAGTGCAGTTAAAAACACCATCAGTTAATGTATTTCAACATTAGCAGCATGAATATTCACTGTAAAAAACATTTACATTATCATACATACATCTGTAGTTTACAGTCCAAAAAAACGATTTCAAAACATTTACAATAGATGAATGAATAAATGTCTTATTTGTCTCAGCTCGTCTTAAAGAACACGATGCATGAATGTAAACAAAACCACATTTGGTACAGTGAAAACTCTACATGGCAACTTTTACATTGATGAATGCTTCAGAGGTAACAAAGGTACTGTGACAGTATTAGATGCTGCCTCTTGCTGGTTGTCGATACTTTTTATTCTTATACTTCCTCAACCATTAGTTTCTTTGTTATGAGGAATCAGAGTTGGGTGGCAGGTGTAAGCCCAGGCTCTGCAGCAGGTTGGAGGCTGGTCCAGCCAGACCCTCCTGGCAGCTGAGGGACTCGAGCAGGTTTGATATCAGGTTTAAGTCCACGTCAAGAGGCTGGATCTCCTCCTCTGTCTCTTCCACTCCTGTGGCAAAGAGATGAGGCGAGCCGCTGTCCAAGTCTGCATTGGTGTAATCCTGCAGGACAAATACAGTTAAACAATATTTTAATAAAGAACATTAAAAACAACACATTATTTCACATATTTTTGGTGCATGTTTTTTGAAAATGAATATGTTGAAGCAGAGCGAGGAACGTGATATTCCAAGGTTGAAATCTTACTGTTTGATTGAAGCTTTTTCCAACATTAGTGCTCATCAGCTCCGTATCCATTTGGTCCATGTAGCTTCTCAGACTGTCCAACGTTTCTGTTCCATTTCTCTCATCGTGACCAGATGACCCTTCCTCTTTTTCTTCCTCCTCCTTTTCTTCTTCGTCTTCTTCATCATCATCATCATCATCATCTAGATCGTCTGAATCTAGTTCTTCGTCTTGACTCCCTATAAAATTGAATTGACAGATTTGGTTTAAGAGGTGAAGATGTGTTAGGTCCCTGCAAGTTTGTTTTACTGTTCATTACATCGACATACCGAGCAGTCTGTCCAGAGCGTTGGCCATCGCGTCAGGCTCAAAACTGAAAGGATGAGCTGAGGCACTCCTGAAATACAAAGAAGATTAACAACTGAGGAGGACAATGCAAATCTAAATGAATGAGCTGGATCCTAAACTATTTTAATCAATGAGCCTTTGATGATCTTGATTAGATATTATCAAGATCAATTAGGTCTAATGGAAAGAGAGCCAGTCTGTCTCACCAGGGCAGTTCAGCTCCCTCATGCGATGACATGGCACTGAGGAAGTTCTTCATCCCCTGACTGACAGCTACCAGGCTATAACTGGCCTCCTCCTCCTCCTCCTTGTCGCCCTCTGTCTCTTTTCTCTTCTCCTTTGTACCCGTGACGTGCTGTGTCTGTTTGGTGGAGCTTGAGTCATGGCTGCCAACATCAGCCCTCCCCCCACTTCTCTCCTGCAACATATGCTCCAAATCCTGAGCTGTGATATCAAGCCAGCTGTCACCTGGAGATAGACACAAAGAAAATTAATTATGGGAAACGGTTGAAAGAGATAAGGTTAGAGAAGGGATGATGCAAACCAAAAAGGACAGAAACTGAAAGGAATTGGCAGGAAGCAGAAAATCCCAGGTGGCAGCATCAGACAAATGTAATGTTTACTATTCAAGCAAAGTCGAATGAACCTTGAGATACGTACTTTATAAAATGTAAAATTCACATTTCCAGAGAGGCTCTAGACATATGTACGTAAATAAATCTCAAGTGAGGTCCAAAATCTCCAAAATCATTATGAGGGCAAGCTGCTTTTTCCAGATATCAAACCTTTTCCATGTACAATATTTAAAATACAAGAACAATATCTGTCATAATGTATGATACAGGAATAATTACATCATATATAACTTCATACATGTAAATGCTTTATTTCTGCGGTCGCCACTTCTCATTATTCAACACATCATTCAAATCTGAGCTCCACTTAAAGGCTTAATCTGCAAATATGTTTTTTTAACAAATGTATGTCAAGTCTCCGAATATGGAAAGTTTCACAGTAAAGGTACATTTTCACTTACTGTCCTCTTGGGGGAGCTGTGACTCTTGTTTCCTCAGCTCCTCCAAGTCAAAGGAATTGCAGCTTTGCAGAAGATGGAGAACCTCCTCACCTGGCGACAAAGCACTGGCAACACACACACACACACACACAATTGGATGTTACAGGCATAAACTATCACACAATGCTCACAGCTGCATCCACACAAACACACACGCTGTCCTCACCTCGATTTTGAAGCGACAGACTGTTTGAAGAAGTTTTCTGCAGATCGTGTCAGTTCTCTGAAATGGGTGGAACCTTCCAGTTCTCCCTGCATTTAAAAACAATAACATTAAAAACATCTACAACTTTCTACACTAGAACAATTCTGAGAGTGATTCATCTTCAACAATCTGTGAGTAAATGATGAACCTAGTTTTCCTAATATTAAAAAAGACCAACCTGGAAGTAGTCATTCCTTTTCAGACTATCCATGAAGCTTTTCCACTGAGGGTTACAACTGACGGGGGCATCTGGCTCTGATGATGGCAGCCTGCACTTCGAGCACAGGATCTCAAAGCCATGTGCCTGGAGACAGGGTCACACACAGATAGAGACTGGGAATCAATAATCAATAATGAGACTTAAAACTCTGCATTAAAAGCACCTTTGCATTAAATTTTCCTAAAAGACAGATCAGAATGAAGAGTAGTGATGGCTCACCAGTTTCATGCCAAGCTCATGGGCTTTGTACTGGGGATGAGAGCGAAGAGGCAGTGTGAAGCCGCTCCTCCGGTCTGGGGTGAACTCTTGCTGCTGCAGCTGGGCATAAAGGCAACGGGTGAACGTCACCTGGAGATAAAGACAAAAGAACGAGGTTTCGGATTGCATTAAGGTTTTTAAGACATTTCACAAAAGCTGAAACATACACATCACAGAAACAATATTTTGAAATAAACAAGAGGTGGGCCTCTTGTCTTTGCATTCACCACAGTAGTCATGAATATTTAGTTTTGTTTACCGATGTCAAGACTCTTGTAGCCGGAGGAAAGGTCTTGAAGCTCCGACACGCCTGCAGATCTACTGGATCCCGCAGGTAGAAAGCTGACACTGCGGGGGCGACTAGGTCTGGACGCTGTTCCAGCACCTTGGCAATACCTGCTGGTATGAAGCAGTGGGCACGGTGGAGACTTTTCTTAACCTTCTCTGGGTACCTAAGTGGAAAGATTGATATGTAGTTTTATTTTTCCTACATTCACATTATTTCTTGATACCAGTAAGATACAAATGTTCCACTTATATACAATACACACAAGACCAAGATATTCTGACATTTTACTTCTTTCCTCTTAGGTCTTCAAATACAGAGCTAATGTGACCACTAAGGAAGGAAGGAAGCTGTGTCACAAACTGTTACTTTTATACTTTTCAATATTCTATTCCATATGATCTGTTCAATAGAATTCCCAGTAGAAAGCATATAAATGTGTCACTGACATTTCAACAGATTTCTTTACAAAAGTTGATTTTTATCATGAAAAGAAGTCCTCTAACCCCTCTAGTCGTTTTCTCAGGGCTGAACAAATCTTCGGACTGGCTCGACAGGCGTCCGTGTGCGTGGAGAGCAACGTCAGAGCTTGTTCCACACTGGGTACAACATCCTTCGAGATGCCCACTGGACTGGATTTGGTTGGGCAGGGAAGGATGTGCAATTCTCCCTTATAGAGGAAGACCTGCAAAAAGATATTGTGAAACGAGTAAGTTTTACACTTTCTAAAGGACAATATGAAGCATAAGGTAATATGTGCAATTTCTCTTGTACGGTCATATTAACAGATGTATCTATGTTTAAATAAAATATGTTTAAGACCATCTCATCTGATCATCTCACCCGGAGTTCACTGGTGTCTGGATTCAGCCACTTGGGAAGATAATCTGCT